GGGGGGGGGGGGGAGTTGCGTGGTGGCCAATTCCGGAGAGGTGAACCCAGACCCTGGTGTAAAAAAAACGACAAAAAGAGGTGGGCCACTTGGTAGTGAAAAATGAATGGTTTGAGGGGTGTTGCGATGCCAGTGATGTAATTGACGGCAAAGAGTGCATCATCAGCATCACGAGGGGCTCAGGAGGCCATGCCAAGAGAACAGATTGCTAAGCTTAGCGTTGCTGTCGGACTGAAGAGGTGGGAGTTCACGTGAATTGGGGGGTTGTTGAGGGCAGGAGAGAGAAGAGAGTGCACGGTGCCATCTGTTGAGGGCCTGCGAGAGAACCGAGCTGAAGAGGGCACTCCCTATGTGGTGGGAGTTCACGTGGATTGGGGGGGTTAGGGCAGGAGACAGAAGATTGCAGCGGGAAGCGTTGGAGGCGGAAGGCCCTTTTTTCACCTCCAAATCCCCCCTTAACCGGGGCGAAAAAGGGCACCCTCCCCCAGACCTATGTCTTTTACTTTCCTTTCTCAGTGTGGCTGCGATGTCAACTTCGCCCCATGAACTTAATCTTTTCCTGATGTTACCCCATCACTTCCTCTTGCACGCCAAGTCTTTGCCCGGGCCTACCCTGAGAGCACCTCCTAAGCCAGAGGCTGGCTTTCGTCCCCTCCCTTCTCAGGTATATATTTAGCACAGGGGTGCAGTTGCTTGGAAAAGAGGATTAAGATGACATCCATCGAGGGGCAGTAATGGTTGATATACGGTGTGTGTGTGTGTGCGCATAGTCTGTGTGTAGTAGTACTGCCAGGAGCTACCAGCAGCGTTGCTCCTAGTAGCGATGGCCTCCACCTAGTAGCGTCCTTGCTACTAGTAGTATCCATGGCTCAAGAAGTTTCAGACCTTTGGAGGCACACATGACATCGCAGCCATCACTAAGGTGTTGCTGGGTGAGATAGGTGCAAACACTTCTCTCCGATACGTGGTGCAATTGCCTGATGCCCAGCATGCCGTGTCCGCGCAGGTGGTTGCGGCTCAAACACCTGAAACTTGATGAAACAAAAACAACTTTTGAGCATGCACATCCCATCCAGGTTGACTCCGGCGTCAATCCTCGCCAAAACTAATGGCCGGGAGGCGTTCATTGGGATCCTTTCACTTTCACTCAGCATGGTGTTTACTCCAAGATTGACTTCAATATAAGATCGGTGTTCAGTAAACGAGTTCGCTATTTGCTGCACTTCTTTGAGTGAACGGTGTCTTGGGCCAGTTCTGACCCTTAAGAGCATGCCCACGTGCACTTCAGCTCACCTGAATACTATCCAAAGTGATTGTGTGAAATCAAAGCATCTAATTCTGATTGAGCCACGAAGGCGATTGTGCGAGAAGACATCGAGGTTGGAGATGGCTAGCAGCTGGTAATGTGGAAGACATAAAGACATATAGGTACAAGGTAAAGATGTGCCATGCCAAAGAGTATGAAAACTGGAATCGGATGTAAGCTGCATCAATCTGAAGGAGATTGACTCCTTGTTCTTCGATGCCAAGTCGGAATGCTCAGCAGTTAACAAGCTGTGGGAAACGTGACTTGTGGGAGAAGTATTGCTTGGTGCCAGTGATGGGTGCGTTGCCGGCTCATCGAATTATTCTACTGCAAGGGTGGGAAAACATGGCGCAGGAATCGCCAACTGCCCACTAGTGCAAACACAAAAGTGTTTGTGGAAAGAGGAGATTTGGGGAACAATTCATCACGGTGTAGCGTGGCACCTTCAACAAGGCAAATCCACTGCGGTGACATGACAGCCACAAAAACAACCCGCCGGGCTCGTTTCCGCGCGTGCGGTTGAAGACATTTGTCAAGTCTTCACGTGGTCAATGATGACGAATGTCCGTTGTGTGACTGTGTTTTGCATTCATGTGAAAGGTTTGTTGCAGCATGTAGTACATGAAAACAACTCAAAAATCGTTGCGATTTTGATATCGAAGTGCTACGAGACTGTGGTTTCGTGCCAAAAAAGGCGCGCTTTTTCATCCTCCAGCATCATCATCACAGTCTGTGGGACAACTTCTGACCCAGCTTCGTCAGAAGATCGTCTTTATTCTGGTGCCAGCGCCATTGCCACTGTCAAATGAACTTCATGATGTTTGGGTTTATACCGTCACCTTCACGTGAACGCAAGCTAGTGGGGACCGACTCCTTACACAAACGCCGCGTACCATCAATGGCACTGGTGTGGATGAGCAGCTCTCCTGACCTCAAGCATCTGACAATCATAACGGAAAAACTTCGGAATAAACAAGCAGTCGGTAACCACCAAGCCAAGTTTCCATGCGTCGACGTCTTAAAAAAGGAACTGACACACCCCGACCACCTGTGCGTACCGACCTGTCCGTGTGTGTGTGTGTGTGTCCACCCCTGGGCAAAGGGTTTCTTCCAGCCACTCCAAT